CAGTCATTCAGACTTGAGTATTTGGTAGACTCTTCCTGAAAAATGAGCAATATGAGTCTGCCACTTCAAGGAAAACAACTGACAGTATTTGTTGCCAATGATAAAATTCAAACTTTCAAGTGAAAACTAGAATTCTGGAAAACTCTTATCTGCCACTGTGAAGCTGACATTGTCCCAATATTAAAAACTTTGCTTATGTCAACACTGGGAAGATCTATATAACAAAACACCAATATTTTCCAAATGACCAATGCATGATGTTACAAAGTCACACCTGGGTAAAGATTCATGCAAGAATTCAATGGGCTTTTAATAGCATATAAAGAAACTGATTAATAGGATTTCAGATTCATATTGCAAGTAACCCTTAAGAAACTACCACTTGTCTGTTGGGTGTTAGTTCAGTGTCAAAAAAAATCTGCAATTACCTAAAAAGGCTATTAAAATGCTCCTCCATTTTTCAACTACCTCTACATCAAAGTTAAGCCAATTTTTCTATATTTTCATCAGCATCCTGCAATAATGCCAAAGCACTTAAGAAAATCTAGTTTACACACTTTAAAATGGCTAAAATGATAAATTTGTATGTGTATTTTACCACAACTTTTTAAAAATCCAGTCTTTGATTAATCCAGGCATTAAAGAGATTTTCAGAAATGTAAAATAGTGCCACTCTTCTCACTAAATCTCTTTATGAAAATATTTTTAATGTGGTTATTTTTATAAAAATGTTATTTATATTAACATGCAATGGGTACAATGGGCTTATTATTTTTAAATGAATCAAGGAAAGATTTTTGAAACTTCTCAGTTTGTTTCAATTTCTAGTAAGGTAAATATCAATAGAAAACTTACATAAACACAAGTTCTTTAGCTTCCATAATAATTTTTAGAAGAATAAAGGGGTCCTGAGACCAAAAAGTTTGAGAACCACTGGCTTGTGGAAAAAGGCTCATAAAGCCAGTCAGGGCTATTCCTGATCATCCCAGTCCCAGAATTCCAACACCTTCTCAAATCTGTTCTGTCCCAGCTTCCACCCTCTGGTTCTGCTATTGCTGCCACCACCATCAGCCTTGGGGGGAGGAGGGCTTGACGTTCCAGCCTATTCCAAGGGAATAGCCTCTCTAACCTTAGCAGAGCATGCTAAGCAGTTCCCTTCCTGTTTTCAAAAACTCTTACCTCTTCTATAAAAACATGATTGCGAGTGGAGTAACTGAGCACCTTTGTTTTATAGTCCTAATATTTAAGAGGGGGGAAATAAGATGTCTGTAAGTATTCTCTGACAATTTTACCTTCTGTCTTCGTGACTCTACCTATAATAGGAAAAAAAAAAACAGTTCTAAACAATACACATCATCTTTTTGCTTGTGGCCCAAGGCAGAACAGAACAGGGTGCAGTGGTTCATCCCAAATGGTGTGAAAGGACCCTTCTTCCCAACATTCAAATCTATTTCTCCCTATCTTTAATAATAATTACCCCTCACTTTTTGGATAATTTCCAAAATCCTAGTCCTAAACTGAAAATTATTTCTACCTTCTAAGTGATTGGTGATCCTATCTAAAATTTCACACACACACACACACACAGAAACACATATCCTTCTTCCTGCTTTACACTTTCTCCTTAGAACTTAGCACAAACTTTATATTTTACTTATTCGTTTACTATCTGACTGTAGTATTAGAACAGAAGCACCAAAAGAAAGGCAGAAATTTTTATCTGTTTTGTTCACTGCTATATCTCCAACACCTAGAATTGTGCCCAGCACTAAATTATTTGTTGACTGAATGAATGAACAAGCCAGGGGGTTCTGGCCTGTCATATTCTGCAACTCAATCCTGCATTCTCCATCCATACCACAGAAACTCTGAAGGCCCCTCACCCATTCCTGACTCCAAACTGTCCCCAGGTCAGTTCCAGAAACTTGAAATGCCATTTCCCATTCAAACCATCAAGCTCCTTGCCTCCCCCAGTTATCTGTTTAAATCAGGTGCTAAGTCCTATCAAGTTGATCTTACTACTCTTATATCTGTCCCATCACCTCCTTCACCACTGCTGTTACCTTGGTTCAGGCTACCATCAATCCTGCCTGGGATTTACTGAAACAACTCCCTAATTTCTAGTCTCATACCGTTCCAACATAGTCCCTGGAACTGAAACAGTGAGTTTTCTAAAACTGCAAATCAGATCATTTAAGCCTTCTGCATAAAACCTATCAGTGGCTCCCCATTTCCTACAGGATTGAATCCAAACTCCTTCCCATATGACCCACAACTTTCCTTGTCCTAATGAACTACTTACGATTGCCCAGCCCACCAAGGAACACAACCCCAAGCCTTTGCCCATGTTATTCCCACTATACCAAATGTTTTGCTCCCATCTACCCACCCCAAGTTCATGCACGGCTCTAAAGCGTTCCTGACTCTACATACTCTACAACATTTACAGCTGTGAGCTTGCAGAGGTCAGGAACTGCCATGACTCCATCTGTGCATCCTCAGTGCCAGGCACGTTGAAAGAGCACAATAAAGATTTCCAAAGAGTGAGTGAATGTGCATAAATGATGAAAGTCTACCCTTCCACAAAGCCTGTTCAGATAAATTAGAGTAGCTTCATTTCATGCTGCTGGGCTAGTTATGGAATCCCCAGTTCATTTCTACAGAGCCCTCTACTGGGTATTTTTAACCCCATCATCAGAAAAGGGGATGAGAGGGAAAGACTAATGTCCAACATAATATACAGAAAATATCTACCACAAACCCAAAGACAGACTACAAGAAATCTTACATATATAACCTTAACCCCATGTATGAAAACGTTCTTCTACACACCATGTGATCATCTCAATTTTGCAGATTTGTACAATGTCTGGAGAATCGAACTGTGCAATTTCAAAAAGGGGCAGGAAATTGTGTAGGCATCCTCTATTAGTAGGGTCCTGTCCACAAAGATTTTCAAAATAAGCTTAATACAGCAAAATTCATGGTCTCAGGGAAACAGTTAAAGGAGGGAATACCATATAAAGTAATCACTGGTTTAGCTAAGCTTTGTCTTTCCCTACCTTCCATCTAGTACTAAGACTTTTCCTTATAAATACGCAGTGTACACAATTTAGAGAAAAAGTGAATTTACCAAGTTTACATACACTATTTGAGGTTTAAAAAAATCAACAAACCCGTTCTAGATTTTTTTTTGCCTGCATCTTTAGTCCCTTGATCTGTAAATTGAAAATAAAATTAACCATGAATTAACAAAAATGGATACTGCCAAAGAGTCAAAAACTTGGCAATTTCCAGACATACTTAATGATTACATCTGTTTTTATTTTTGAAGTTCAAGTAATACCCTGTTCAAAATACCACTTACAGAATTGCTATCATTGTTATAGTTAATTTTACGTAGTACAGCACAGCTCCATTCTCTGGAATCTGTCCCACTATCTCTGAGGACAGAGCCTGCAACACTTGGACCCTAAAGATGCCAAATTGTCTAGCAGTAATTACATCTGCACTCCACTCCACTGGCACTTTCAGAGTTGAGAGCAAGAGCCATTCTCCTACAGGGAAAGACACTTGTCACAGCAGAATCTCTCATGTGAACTGTGAAGTGTAGTTTCTGACCTCATCAATGTAGCATTTAAGTCTCTCTAGGTAGAGGTAATTATCAGGTGAAAATATTTTTCTACTACATCCAAATTATTCAATTAATACCAAAATTAATATAATAAAGAAAAATCAGAAGGATAAAGAACCCTCGCCAGATAACCAATAAATAAATGACATGGGGAACTCCAATCAAAGGCAGATAAAGAAAATATCAATTGAGCATATAGGATTGTGTCAAGGCTGACAATCTATTCAGGCCCTCAAAATCAATCACGTACTGCCTCTGATTTACACTATTACTTCTCCCATCTCTGATTTGAGCTGTTACTTCTTCTGAGGATTCCCTTTCCTGGGGCTTTTCACTGTGTAATTATGCAACATGTGGGTACCATAAAACATATAATATAGCTTTACAAATTTAGGCTTTTAAAATCAACGTGATTTTTCTCTACATACTTCCTAAATAGATGTTCCCCTCAATCTGGAAGATTTTAGTAAAACATAAGTACTGTTTTTAAAAAGTGCTATTTAGAATCCTTACTCTTGGTCCCACTTACTAGACCTCAAATATTTTTGCCCTATATGAAAATACGAAAAATAAAATTTAAAAAGCCCAGTGAAAACATCAAGAATAGCAGTAAGGAGCTTAAGACTGGGACAAGAGACCAGATACTAATCTGAGCGGCTGGGGGTAGGGGGGGTTAAACACCGCTCTGGATGCAATGCTTACTTTCAAATCACCTGGTGGCTTGAGAAGTTCATTCTAAAATGCTGCAGTCTATATGATAATACAAATACCATGATAAGAAAGCATCATTAAATAAAGTTGAAAGCTGAAAATGCAAATATTTCTTAAAAAGAGACCTAGCCAAAGGCAGTGTGCACTTATGACTCCATCTAATTCTCAGAGTCCTACAGGGCTGAGCAGACTTCCTTGTCCCAGCAAAGGGAGGCCTGAGAGGAGAAAGGTTTTATTCTTCACATTGTTGGAAAAGGGCACAGGGAAATGTTTTGATGGGACTTAAGGGTGACCAAATGAAATGCAAAGGCAATTTTTAAAGAGCTTCAAAGTTCTGACTGCAGGGCTTCAGTACCCTGACATTCATCAGATCTGCACCCAGAATTTCAGAAACATTAACAGCCAACTGGCAAGGAGATGCATTTTCAAAGTTCTCCTTCCTTCTAAAGGTCTCATCTAGGTCAGCACTGCCACAGTGTGAACAGATCTGTGATATTTGACTAATTGGAGGAAAAGTTCCACTGGCTCTGAGATGCCCCCACAGTAAGGTATCCGGAGACAACAACTCCAGATACTGACGCTGGAAAGATTGTTTTGTTTCTCCAACACAAACAGGATTGGGGAGGGAAATGACTAGGCACAGAAATACACATACCTTTCAACTGGTCAACAACAACGCTCTGGCCGAGGCGTTCAGTAACTCTCCCATCCTCCATTTCGTACCGATCATCAAGGTATTTTGCAGTGGCCTCAGAAATGTGAACCTTGCCAGCCACTCCCAGCTGCTCCATGAGATTGGCCAGGTTCACGTCATTGGACCACACATCAAATTTAAACCTCCTCATGCCCAAGATGCCACACAAAACAGTCCCCGTGTGAACCCCAACACGCATGTTCACCATTTCTTTCTTCTCCTGGCAGAAGTGCTCGATGGCTCTTATCATGCCCAAGCCCATTTCAATGCAGCAATAGGCATGGTCAGCCCGGGGTTCGGGGCACCCTGCCACACAGTAGTAGCAGTCTCCCAGGGTGCTGATTTTCTCACACTTGGTCTCTTCACACAACCGGTCAAAGCGACCAAACAGATCATTGAGGAGACCTACCAGGGCATGAGCAGACTTGTTGGCACTCATCTTGGTGAAGCCTACGATGTCTGCAAATAAAATACTGACCTCTTCAATCTGCTGCATCTTAAATGGGCGGAATGCTATAGGGGCTTTCTGTATGGAAGACTTTTTCTTCCTGTTCTTGGGGCTGGAGGTGGCATGCCTTTTCATAGAATTCTCACTCTCCTCATCCCCCTGTTTCATCAAGTCATCAGCAATGATTCTTGGCATCACAGAATGAATCATCCTCTCTTTCAGGGCTTTTTCCACTTCCAGATCCTTCCCATGCATAATTGACTGTCCCACCTTGAGGAAGGTGCTTCTAGATCTCACCTGGGACATGATGAATAGGTGGATCCCAATGGCATGAATGCAGACATGGAGCAGGGCTCGGCTCAGCAGCTCCCAGTGCCGGGGCCCTGCTTCAGGTGAGGGGAAGCAGTCTTCATCTTGGAAATGATAGCCAAAGGTCTCAAAAAGTACAGAGTATGCCACTCCCAAAAACAAGCTCAAGTACAAAGGTAAGTGCATGACGGTGTAGAGCAAAAAGAGAACTTCAATGCACATGGAAAAGCTCCCCACTTGAGATAAGCAAGTGTCTGTGGACTTAGCTGCGGGAGTATGATTGGAACTGTCAACAGGTCCCGAGAGAGGCGTCAGAACCTGAAACTGGGCAGCCAGAGTCAGGCTGAACACCAGGAGGGTGAAAACCAGCGAGGTCCACACATAATGTCGGGCATACAGCTTGGTGAAGGTAAACAGGAAAAAGCCCACACACACCACGAGGAAGCACAGAGCAGGAGCTGCCATGAAAATCATTTTGGATCTCATGTGGACCCCAAAATAGATGCTCCAGAGCAGGCAGGCGAAACCTATGTAGAAAAGCGCATACCGGAAGCGGCGCTGGGTTTGCGGGAAGCAGCGCTCCAGGCAAGCCTCCTCCAGGTTCACCGAGTCGAACTTGGGGTCCCACCACCGACTGGAGGCCCTCTCGAACAGCTGGGGCAGCTTCTTCTGCCTGCGCAGGCGGCCTCCGGCGCCCACTCTCCGGGGGACGCCCCCTGAGTCCCCAGAGCTGCTACAACTGGAGGAGATGCTGTACTTGCAGTGTTTAGGGTGGCTGTTGGACGACAGCTGCTTGGGGTTGATTTTGACCCTCACGCTGTTGTTGTCTCCGCTGGAATCACAACTCACCTCGGTGCTGTGGTGCTGCAGCAGCTGCTGGTGGGGCGGGGAAGCCATGTTGCCTTGCGCTCGCAGCCACCCCCGACCGGGGTCACCGCTACCTGTCAGCGAGACAAGCAGAGTTAAGCTGGTGTTTATTCCCATCCAGGTACACGCACCTGAAGGCCACGAGCTCTACCCATTTCCTAAGTGGCGGCGCCAGCTGTCTGCTTGCAAAGGCACCATATACTCACAGAACTGCGGTAATGTCTAATCGGCGCTACCACCGGGATCCCGCCTCGAGGCCAACCCCAGGCACCCAGGACGGGCCCGGAGCGCCCA